TTTCTCTCAGAGCCGGCGGCACCACTAGTGTATGGGTCTGAGAAGCCATGCCATTTTGAGCGTGCGGATTCGACAAGAGTCGGTCGTCGAGCTGCAGCTGGGTAACACACCTGAGAGCACTGGTTACCCTTATGGAGTGCACAGATTGTTTGACAATGCCTGGCATCAACGCTACTGAAGATAGACCATCAATTCATTTGACGCTTTGGAGAGGGTGGGAAACACCCCTCAACGGAAACTGTTGGATCGGAAGTGGCAAGGACTCTCGCCGACCAACCGCATTGACTCTTTCTACCTTGTCTTGTCGTACTCACCAAGAAACGTGAGGGTGGGTGTACGGGATGACATAGGCATCATCTTGCCCAGCTTCCAGTGATCTGACCATATGACTGGCCCAGCTTGTTATCCCATATGTGCGTTTTCCTTGGCAATTGAGTCACTTGCTTCATTGCACCAAAGACGCAAGCATCATTCAGCCGTAGATAATTTCTCCACTCGGATAGAGATAGAGGGGAAGAGAGTCGGTAAGTCAAAGCCGTTCAGCATGTCGGTAGGATGGCGCACGTTGATGGCGTAAGTTCTTCGTGCTTTCTTCAATCGTTCTTTCGCCCATCAATGTAGAAGAATAAAAGGCTTGTCTTCGTCGGCTGCAACGAAATTCGACAGAGTGGGATGAACCAGGGCGTTGTCAGCCTTCTTGGTAAAGAGGGCATGTCTAGCCGCGCCACGTAAGCAATGCTCATGTGGTAGGATGTAAATAGGAGGAGGTATCAGCGGGCTGAGGTGTAATCTCGTTTCCAATGGTCCCAAGATGGTTGTTCTTTTGAATGCTCCTGTGCAGATCAGCGCCCGAGCAGGAAGCCTCAAGGCTGGTCCTCCGGTTCCTCTTCGAGCCTAGCGGCAGCCTCGAAGCGGCAGCGGCTGAACGTCTGGACGCAAACTAACGAATCCCACGACGACAATCTTACATACCGGTTTGCAGACACAATATGTCGCTTTCCTAATCTTGTCAATGGTTGGTCAGAAGAAGTTGATCTGGGGTCATTGGAATGATGAGAAAATATCGTTGTGGAGTCTTTTAAACGAGGGTTCGGGGTGAAAAGGTTGTGCAATAAGTCTTAATCTGACACCTCGAGATCGTTTGATGTTGACGTCCCTACCATGAGTGGCATCCATCGTAAAGGCGGAAGGCGACATCTACTGTGCCTCTGGTCCAGAATTCGACTCTTGTACTATGGTTTGACTTGTAGGTTGATCATGCGAAAAACTATACTGAGGTAAAGACCCATATACCTGGGCTCGTGCCGATTCGCGGAAGAGAACGCGGTTGCTGCAAGAACGTTGCCGTTAATGTTACGCGACATTGAGTACATATGTATCATTGCCAGGCCCCTGGATCCAAAAGTAGGATAAATGCTCGGCGTCTATGCTGCGCAGACAACAGACACAGTGTCGAAGTAGCCTCACTGATCAAAGCTTGCGCCGGTGCTTTTGCCGTCGGCAATGGTCAAGGTCGTCTGGAATCATGTACTAGATGGTCGAGCTCCGTGCGAACTCATGCGACCGAAGGCAACCATGCTCAAGCAGGTGAGCCAGACACAACATGAGCTATATTTGTTCTTCAGTTCAAATATCTCGAATTGCTGCAGGCGCAGGTAGATTAGCGGTTGCCATTGCTGGACGTTTCTGACGTCACCTGTTTTTGCTAAACGTTTCCACGGTGAAGCGTGATTGCGAGTGTAGAATGCCGTTGGTCAGAGGTCAGCTCCTGATTGCTAGGTTGCGATTGATAACAAGGCAGACGCGTACTTTGGATGAGTTAGCAAGGTCGTTCGTTGTAAGTCGTCGAATTAGGCTCGGCAAGATGCGAAGTCGCCCCTTGATCCCGGTCCGGCCCCGCGATTTGGGTTGGATGCAGCTTAGGGAATGCCCTGTGTTCTGTCCCGGACCAACCTTGCCATCAACCATTCAATTCCCGTGGATGGTTCTGCGGCTTGTTGCAGATCATTTCCCCTTGGCCAGGGGCAGATAGCCACGGAAGCGCCCAACCGAAGCATACCAGCCAGTCCGCATGTCGGCCAGGCCTCGAAATCAACTTAGGCCGTAAACTTGGCGAGACATATCTCAGCGTTTGCTGGAATCGTCAGACGCTCACGGGCAGCTGCATGCTATCGGGGGACATGAACGCATATCCTCGAAGGAGAAATAGGCGCAATTCAAAGTAATCAGTGCTGGCGAGCGAGAACCATGGCAAGACTTCAACTAATCTCAGTGTCGCTAGGGTTGCATCAGACTCGGGTCACTGATCACCGGTGATCCCTGCCTGTGAAGTTGCGGTCTCCACGCGTCCCCGCAGTTCTCATGTTCGGGCAAGCGTTCAAAGAATCAAGGATAGAACTGAGCGAAGCCTCTCTCTCTCTCTCCGCGATTCTGTCTCCGGGGAGTACAGGCTGGTATTCAGGGCTTGCTCGAAAACTAGCCTGGACCCAAGCGCTCGAAATCAAGCGTGTGCGATTTCTTCTATCATCATCCGAGACTCGGGCTGCGACCATGCCGACATCATCAAATAGACAAGACTTGAGGCGTAAGCAATTGCTCTTGCGCTGGTAGCAAATCAGCTGGACAGAGTGTCTGTATATATCAGAAGCTTCCTTGGTCCAGGAAAAGCAATCTCTGTGGTAAAGTCGAAGCTTCATGAACGTGCTAATTGCCACCATTTGAACTAAAAAAACTCGAACATTTCCGAGAACCTTGGTTGCATTTAAACCCCAATATAGCAGATTGGAACAATGCAGACAGTTGCGTAGTGCGAAAACCTGGCAATTCCCGTTGTCACATAGTGGCGCGGTCTACCTTGAAGTGACAGCGGGAGGCGGTTGAGTTGTGTTCAGACTTTTCACACACCCTCTCCTCTGAGACGCAACTCTCGGATCTCCAGGCTCGAAAGCATTGACATCCTGACAGACGTCGTCCATGCCAAGGATCATTGCAGATCAACCCGCGAGTCGCCGCCTAGATTTGTGCCTGACATCAATGGCAATGTATAGAAGCAGGCCGCCCCCAGGAGAAAGCCTTTGCGGGAAACCGCAATCCCCTAACATCCATTGTGTGCTGGCGATGCCGTGTTTTATGTCGTCGTGAGTTTCTGTTCCGTTTGTCAAACACTCGACGAATCATTTCATTGAGGACGGAATAATCTGTGAACGAACTCTCGGATTCGTAAGCGTTACTGAGCTGATTCGCCAGTCAATCAAGTTTTCAGAACGTCGGGCCATGCTAATTTTTGGCCTCTAGGAATTCTTTGGTTCATCACAAATCAGTCAATGCAGCATCTACACGGGGGCATCGACGTTTGACGGGGCTGGCTTACTGAAGATGACTCAAGGCTCCCGGAACTCGGCCGAATAGTGGTGGACTCGGAAGAATCGTCGGTCATCGTTCTCAGGGAGCGGTAGGGACATAATCGCACGCGAGAAGTGGGGCGTGACGGTGTGTCGGGGCGATGATGCGTAGGTTGAGCGCCAAACGTGCTCGCCCATCGGTGGATCAACCACATTTTAGGAGACGGAAGAGCAGAGATCGAAAGGCTGTGATTGCGATTGGCGGGCTTAGGGCGAGATTGTGGGACGAGCTCCCCTGGTGGTGCTTTGGGATGGCCGAGAATAGGGTGGCCCGAGACTTCGGACGAATGTGATGAAATACCAAACTCTGGGCTCGGCAGCGACATTTGAGACAGCGTATCAGCTCTTGTGAACAACGTAGGCCGTATGAGTCGTTTCGAACAGTCTTGGAGGCGTATGGGGCTGAAGTCTTTTCTACCAAGCACCATAGTTGAAGTGGTCGGCAAGGAGCTCCAGACCGTCGAACCATCAACCCCTGTTCAGGAACTGCGATTGATAGCAGAGCCACGGCTGGCCTGGAACTTTCTCCCTAAGTGGCCCATGCTGCTGTCTCCAAATAATTACAGATATTTTGTCGTAGAGCTATATTTGGAAATAGAGGCGTGAGGCTGTCATAGAATTTCGTGCTGGTATGGCTGAAGGTTCGATTGACGGACATAACGTCCAGATAAGGTAGGAAATTGCATTGGGCACAGGGTAGCCAATAAACAACGTTCAACTCAACAACATCATTTCTTCTTTCGTCTCGTGATTCATTCGAAGTTTTGTGGGAGACCGATGAAAAAAAAGGCGAGCAACGGGGGAGAAAATGGCCGATGTCGAGACACGCCGTGAGCAGTTTGTTTGAGAGCAGAATGGATGGAGGTTGAGTTTGGGTGTGACGGTGTCACTAGAGAAAAGAATTGTTAGCAGGAGAAGGTATCGGTACTTCTTGCTCTTTTAGGCTACCGAAGCTAAGAGGGCCCACAAGCCAATGAGAACGAACATAGTGGAGAAGACCCCGCCTTGGCATCGTCGCAAACTCCACCCATGCGCAAGTTGCCGAAGGGGCGTTCCCTGATATTCCGTATCAGCTCCTTCTCCTGGCCTTAGCAGAATGCCTCGCGTGATACCGCAACCTTCTGCTAACGCAGTCTTAGGCCAGAATGTGGCCGGTTGCCCGTCTCACCAGGGTGTAACCAGGCTTTCAGGCCCTCCGGAAGGCGCAACAAAAAGTCACGGCCGTCCCCCTCCTACACCTTGGCACGAGCCAAGTCTACTTCCCATTCATGCACAACATGCTCTCGTTTCGCCGCAGTATCGCGAAGACTTATTCGTAACACCCTCCCTGCTTGAAGCGTCTGAAGATCCCACGCAAACCTTCTCGCTGCCTGTCTATAACATCGCCCGTGCCGCCTTGATCCCCTCATCTTGGCAAATCCATCTGAAGGACCAGGACGCTCTATCTCTCACTTCCCATCTTAAATAATAACTGACTCCACGGCCGGGACTGGAGCCTGGTAAAACCGTACATAATACACACCGTCACTCTCTTAATATTCGATTGTTTACCAGTTCTCGTACGCCAGCGTCGACCGCTTCGCCACGATATTCGCAAAAATGGACAGCTTTCTCATGGCAAGACACGGTGGCGATGACCACGGAGCGACAGGAACAGCAACTGCTTCGGATGCTATGCCGGGAATGGATATGGGATCCGGCACGATGAACGATACCCACGGCTCGACTGGCTCAAGCATGAGCATGATGATGATGACCATCTTCCAGACCAGTCTGAAGACTCCTCTCTACACCGAGGCCTGGACCCCGAACAGCGTTGGCACTTACGCCGCCACGTGCATCTTCCTCATCTTCTTGGCCTTCGGTCTTCGCAGCATGCTCGCTCTCAAGTCTATTCAGGAGAAGCGATGGTTGGACAAGGACTTCAAGCGCCGCTACGTGAGCGTTAACGGCAAGCTCGGCATGGCAGGAAAGATGTCAACGGACAGCATGGCAAAGCAAATGGTACTTTCCGAGAACGGCCTCGAGGAGAACGTCACTGTCGTTCAGAAGGGACATGGCATTTGGAGGCCCTGGAGATTCTCCGTTGACCCTGTTCGTGCTGTGATTGACACTGCCATTGCCGGAGTTGGGTATCTTCTGTACGTGTTCTTTTTCTCGCTGCTTACTTTTGAAACATCTACTAACAATTCATAGGATGTTGGCTGTCATGACAATGAACGTTGGTTACTTGCTGTCAGTTCTCGGCGGCGTCTTCCTGGGCAGTCTCGCTGTTGGCCGTTTTGCCACTATGGGCGAGCACTAGTGAATTATCAGCAGCAGTTATGGAGACAATACCGACTAGAACGATCTCCTCAATTCACTTGCTGTTGTATGATGCGGTGACTCTAGTGATGGACGGATGCTGGATCATGGCAAATAGACACGAGGAATGCGACCACGACGGAATGGACACCGCGACAATCAACAAACTTTTTTTTTTCTGTCCTTTTTTTTTCTTCTTCTTTTTTTGGAACCGCATGCGAAGGAAACTACCAGGCTACTTCCGGCTGGAGATTACGCTCGCTGTGTTGTGCTGCACGAAGCAACGTTTGTACACTCAGTGGCAGCCTGCGGTTGTCAAACTCAAGCAGCTACGATCGATAGTAGTGAAGCTATGTGTACAGATTCGGTACTCAATATGGGGTTCCCTCCTTCTCGTCTCTTGTGGTCTCGTGGTGATAGCGCGGCAAGTACATATACAAGGGTGCCTAGTGCCGTTCCTGGCTCGTGCAGAAACCTTCTCAAACTCCCTCAGCCCGTCGCCTCCGTCCCCCGCTTCCTGCGAGGTTCAAGTGAGACATACCAAGCCACCAAGCAAGTCTTCCTTACCGTCGCTGCCTTCGTTGCTGTGCCACATCACCTAAGCCGTCTACTCGACCTCTTCCCCTTTCGTCCAAGTCAAGCCTTCGAATACCAAATGAGTCGAGCCCAAAAGGAGCCGCATGTCGACCTGTCCGCCACGCTCGGCCAGAGATGCAACTGGAGGTGGCTATAGCCTATCAGCCCTCAGATTCTACCCCTACGAAAGTGTATCACTAAGCAGCCAGACAGGCTCACATGCTGGCAGGGTCCAATTCGAGGGGATGCAACCCAGGACGAACGATAAGATCAGCAGCCCGACCATGTTTTCTGGGACTGCACCAATAGTCGACTGTACACCCAATCACATGTTTTGCGAGTACGGATACGTTCTTATTGTTGATCAACAGGCATCCTCCCTTCGCGCCCTGGCGTCTCGAGTCGCGGTGCCAGATGCGACGTCACCCAGCGTGGCATGGCAGCCCTGAGCATGTGGAGTGTTTGCCCCAATTCCGCACTCTTCGAAGAACCCGTCCTTCCACGAAGCTTGTTTCTGCCCGTTTCATCTGAACAGCTCCCCTCCAGACTGACCTCGAAGTTTCACTGCTCCGATGCTCCGTTCCAGTCAAATTTGGTTCCTGGCCATCTTGCAGAGGGGTACGGCAACTTCCACATGGGACGGACAAAATGAATCGATGCTCTACCTCGACGAACTCTTCTCTACAGCAGAGCTTTGAATGGCCAAGACAATGACGAGGTTGCCGCATGTCCACCGGCGTTACTAGCACCAGTGTCAGAAACCGAGAGACAAGCAAGATATATTTGCACCACCAACTCCGACTGAAGGCTGTGTTTGGATGTCACAACACAAACTTGAATTGTCCGATACAACATAAGTCAGTTGAACCCTGCCATCCGTTGCATCTTAACCACCACGCTCCAATCGGGTCATGATTCACTACAAAGACGACAACAGACGACGGGAGCGCCGTGGCTGTGCGGGGCTTTCGCTTTACCCGGAGTCCACGATATCTGTGCCTGAACCCGGAGATGGGGAATCATTAGCAAGGAGACGCGGCTCAACTCCGAGCACTGTGCAATACAAAGCGACCATCCTCGAGCCTCGGGACTTTGTGGGTGTCACTTCTTTCTGAACGTCTCGAAGAGGAGTAGTTAGGACGATGTAAAGTTCTTGATTGTCCGGACTAACGAGAGCTCAGCCTAGGCTCACTACCAGAGGACGAGTACTATCAAGAACGGGACTCCGAGTAGAGGAGGGCGCGGAGACAATCCTGGACACCATTTTCTCAAACGCCAGCAGAATCAGTCCATCATTTGCAGTGTCCGACGATACCACAGAGCCCTAGACCACCAGGAAACGAACGTGGCGAGTCCATATATCAGCCGGAAGCTTGCCACACCTCTTACTGGCCCAACCGCCGGCGAAGTCTCCCGTAATCCTGGAAATGACCTCGGGACCGGCATCCAGTCCAGTCGAGGTAACGGGCCCTTGGGACTCGGCATTCAACCCTGTATGCAGCGTCCTAGAGGTCGCCGACCCTGTCAATTCAAAATCAATCTCTTCCTCGTCCATCCTTGTCGACGGACTACAGAGACAGAGGGCTGGGCTGATATCCAAGTTTGACCCATGTACAGCCTTCTGTGCCGTTGCCGAGATTACGGAGACGATCAAGCCAGTTGCATAGCTGCTCGGCCAAGGTCGCAAGAGCTTCAGAAAATGGTCTACCTAAATCTAGATCCGATCACGTCTGACCACATTGAAACCGCAGCGGACCGGTTCGCCGCAAATCCCGTTAAGGTCGCCAGTCCCAAAAAGGCAACGAGCTGTCCCTGCTCACGTCCAAATCTAGACAGGACCTTCTCCACCAAAAACAACAGAGATACATTTGCCGGAAAACCTCACAGCTAGATACGCGTCTTTCCAAATATGTCAACTTTACCCCGCTGTAAAAAGGTCAAAAGAAAAGAGTTGAAGCACGCAGATGCGCATGTGACACATCAAAGACTTGATGAGTCTCACTCTCCCGATCAGTCGAATACAACTCCTCCGATCGACCCCGCTAGTTGCACACTGTATCCCCAGAAACGATTCAAGTCAAGTTTGCCAGATGAGAGAGACCGACAACGATGATGAGATGACTGTGAACCTCATCTTCATCAACAGTCCAGCCAAGAGGGTTGTGCATCGTCCTTCGTGCCAAGTCTACGGGCTGCTCTCCTCTTCGACTCCCCGCTGGACCCCCGCTACTGGCGCTGTCGCCAAAGCCGCGCTGAGGACGTGCACCACCTTATTAGTAACAACGAGCGGAACATGAGGGCGGGCAATGCAGGCAGTACCCGTAGGTCCACAACCACTGTCAGTCCGCGCCCAGCAGTTAGGTTGCGCCGGCCGTGCCACGGGCGGGTCTATCGTTCACCGAATCACAACACGCGAGAAGGCCAAAAGCAGCATACAAATCTCTCACTCTGCCCCTTGCATCCCGAGTTCCCGCCATCCATGAGTCTGCAGTGAGTTTAGTCGCCCGTGAATGGAACCAGAGATCCGCTGTTCGACCTAATCAGGCAAAAGTTGTCGGCGGGCTATTTCAACCGCATACCAATGCGACGACAACATCCACAGTTTTGCAATGACAAGAACAAGAATAAGAGAGTGCATGTCGACAAATTAACCTCTGTCAATCAAGTGCGGTCTGGAACCTACTACCCTACATCTTCCACCCCTCCCCTCGGACGTCAAACTGTCAACAAGTTTACCAAGCAAGCAAGCAACCGGACGGTAGGGGTTGGCTCGTTCGTACTCGATGCCTGCCCGAGCTTGAATTAATTAGGAAATTCCAAGGAGAAATGACACAACCATTTGTATGGACAGGACAGAAGCCAAAATCTGTTGCGAAAACCTTGCCCACCGCTTGACAACCAAGCTTCGCGCGACCTTATGCTGTCGGGCAGCTGTCAAAAAACGACCCGGGCTTTCTTCCTCCCCCCCCCCCCCCCCCCTTCCTCCTCACCACCACCATCGTGGTAGGTAGTGTAGCTTGTTTGCCAGCGCCTCTTTATGCCTGTTTTTTTTTTTTTTTGTCTTTCTCCTTCTTTCGTGTGTCTCGCATTCCAGCTTTAGAGTTCAGTCACTTGTCATGTCACCATGACGGCACACCACACACTTTTACGTATGCCGCCACGGACAACTGCGCACTGCCGAACCAAACCAAACCAAAGCCGAGTCTAAATTTTTGTTTGCTTGTTCGAGTCCGCAAACGGAATCGTTCGAGGACGGACGGACGGACGCGGGGAACGGAGGAAGGAAAAGTCGAAAGATCTGAAAATGTGTAAGCAACGGACAGGAAAAGTCTCTCCTGGTCTCGACGGAAACAACCCACCACCTTTCACTTCGGATCAATCCTCGCATGATTGGTCAATAGTACGACGACCTATCTGCGCCTTCTCCTTCGACTACCTAGGATTCGATGCTCTAGGAGTATAGTGCATAGATATTGTAGACCTTTCAGATAAGCATCACTTCACAGAACTCGGCGCGTAAATTACAATTCTTCTTATAACGTTTTCACAACATTAGCAATTCGTCAGGTCCTGTCTTTCTAGTCGTGGTGATTTCTGGTACGAAGACGGGGGGGAAGGAGGAGGAATAATAATCGCAAAAGGGGGGCGCGCACGCGGATATAACTATCATACAAGGTGTATAGAGACATTTCATCCTCTCCATATTCTTAAAACTCATCTTGCGTTCTTCATCACTTCCTTTTCCCCATGAATCGGTGCATCCCCGGGCTCTCGGTGCCTGCTTATTCCCCTATATCCCAGACTGAGACCGCGCCTGACAACAACGACAACGATGACAGCGAACAGGAACGGAAAGTGTACGGTGTGAATGTAGCTTTTTGTTGATTTGCCCAGGGCCGGGGGGTATCGTGCCGAGTCCTACGGAGAAAAAGAGCCCAAAAGACATTTCCTCGCAGAGCAGCGTAGTGAGAGATTACGGGTTCTGGAGCGGACCGAGTTGGTCGCGCGACGTCTCTCTGTTCCCTCGTTGATCCTCGACTTTAATGAAATCATCACAGTCCATTCCAAAAAGATGTGCCTGCCCCAGCCGTGAGAATGTCGTGCTCTCGTGCTGAAAAAGGACCTTCCCCCTCCCGCGCCGGAAATTCCCCCACCCTGCTTCCGCAAGACATAGCTTTCTCCAACCACACAACTCTCCCCTACCGCCACTGGAGAAGAAGGAAAAAAGAACGAAAACGATAAATGGCCAACGATGCCATACAAACTCGCGTCCACAGACGGCAAGCCGCCTGTCGCGAGGCACAGACGTGTCGCGCTCAATGAGACCGCCGCCGTCGTAATGCCACCCATACCCCATGTCTCCTGATCGCATGCTCCTCAGTGTCTCCATGTCTCTCGTTATGTTCCCCCGTGTTTTCCCCAGCT